TTTTGTTCGTTGTAGAACAAGACAATATCTAGAATTTTAGTCTATACCTTTCCTTAAACAAATGGTTACAATACTCCTATGTATAAAAAAATTATTATTACATAAAATAATAAAACATTACTGAGAAAAATGAGATTTTTAACTTTCAAAAAGATAAATATAAGTAAATTCGAATTTACGAAGATGAGATTTTATTAAATGACAATAAATATATATACAAGTGAGTAAAATTATAGAATTTTCATAGTAAAAACTTAGAATATATTTATTTTTTAATTTTTAAAAATTAATAGTTTTCCTTTAAAATTTATATTTTCATGCTAGTTAAACCTCATAAAATAAATATATCTACTGCAATTCACATCAAAATATAATTAAAAACTTAGCACACTGGCGAGTATTAAGGGTAAAAATATTCATGAAAATATTCTTACTTTTTATTCATATTGTAAAAATGATGCAAAATTCACCATTCTACTCTTAATTGTAAGTATTGAAACACAAATGCAGATTTGTGACGAATCTGCAAATGAGTGTAATGAGATTTCTTTGTTTTGGATGTAATTAACAGTGAGGTAATTTGGTATCTTGCCAGAAAGTTCATTTACTGTTGAGACTTCTCTTAAGTGTTAATCTGTTAATCACTTTTGGACTGGATCCCATCGCTATGTTTTCTGAACTCCCAATCACTGAACCTGTTTTTTTTTTAACTTTGTTATTCTGCATCAGGGATTCTCAAACTTGTTGAGACTAAAATGTATACAGATTCGCTGTAACTCATACCACTTTTTGAATATTTAATTTACTGAAATATCTTAACTTGAGAAAGAATTAACAGATTTCGTATTGTTTTTTCTGTTTTTAAAATATTAAAGCAAGGAATTAGAACTATTTCTAATATTTTATTTAAAAAATTAATTCAATAATTAGAGCAATTTTGTAAGGATTCTGAGAAAATGACCTAGCATGCAGCTTATTCATACATAATCAAATGTAATTTTACTCAAGTTGCTCACAGAGAATGAAAAAAATGAAAAGAAAATATATATATATTAATAAATTATACTTTTTTTACATAAAATTTGAAGTTCAATGCCGGTGAAATAGTTAGAAATGTATTTGAATAGAAGCGATGCAAAAATTTTCTGATTTGTTTTAAACATTTAGATTGAATCTGTAATTTATATGCTTTGCAGTTTTCAATATTCGTAAACGTAAATGATTATTGCAAAAATATTTGGAAATACAAAAAGTCATATATTTTCCAAGATTTAGTAGCTACTTGCAATCTGCACTTCTTAATCAATACTTTACTGCGCTACTGAAAGGCAAGATACCAAAATAAGTTTAATTTATATGAAATAATATGTATCAAAAATATATTAATTTATTAACGCACACACACACAGTACAAAGGAAGACGAGGCGATGAATCTCACGTTTGAATTCTTTCATGTTGTGTGGAAGACATCTGAGCTTTCATCCCATTCTAAAGGGCATCCATAGCATGCCAACGTGAAGACTTCACATTTCGCTATATTTAACTGTATAAGATATGTCTTTCATGTTAACAGAAACATACATTTTGGAAAGTGAATGTGTTTGAAACAATGTTGGTGTACTTTTATGTAACAGTTTTAAAATTATATATTCAAACATTTAGTACTTAAATAAACTACTTCTATTGATGTTTGAGCATTAAATACATTTGATTTATAAATATATAAGAGTGTAAGACGTATTCCTTTTCTTAAGTGTTTGTTTATGCTTAGGGTATTATTCTGTATAGCTTATTTATTGAAATGATCAACTCTAAAATTGCAATGGTATACATTTGGAGAAATATTGCATAATTTTTAAAATTATTTTTATAGTAGAGCAATTTTTAAGCTCTATTTCTACGAACAATGCCAGGATTATATTTTTTTTATCATTAATATATAGCAAAATATTGAATGTTTTTAAATGTATTCGAACTCTGATACTCGAGAGTTAAATTTTAGTATAATGGAAGTTATATATTAAAAATAATAAAAAGTTAAGAGTAAGTATTATGCACACATTAACCATATGAAATATATAGTGTACGTTCTTTAAAAATGAGTTGAGATAGCTTGAAAAGTATATATATTTCGGTTCTTAAGCCGCGCAAGGAAGTACATTCTTAAAAAACCAATGCTTTATTTGTTTTAAAAGTTTTCTTCTGTTTTTTAGTATTTGATGCTAGAAAGTTCTTTTCTTTAATGTAGTAATACTTTTCATCAATAAAGGTAAAAGAAGATTGAGGAAGTTTACTTTTGAAATTTTCATAATTGTTTTATGTTTGAACAAATGTATATTAATTCCAAGATATATAAATAGTATGTAATATGCTTAACACATATTTTTAAGTGTTATATAAAGGGGTGATCAAAAACTGTTTACACACTTTCATGAAGAAAAAAGTACATATTAACCTAAGTATAACAGTGAATAAAATGACAAAGTTACAATAAATGTTCAAGCTGTAATCTATTCGCCTCGAAACGCTTTTGAGTACATTGCCGTACATTGTTGGTGACATCTCTCAGAGTAGCTACAGGAGTTGTGTGATCAGCCGTTTCAATTTCATTGTTCAATTCCTCCAGTGTGCGCTGTTTATTGTTGTACACCACGATCTTGAGGTAACCTCATTAGTAAAATTCAAGTGAGATTAAATCAGGTGAACGTGTACGGTACTCAATCAAACCTCTTCATCCAATCCAGTGACCTGTTGTAATATTATCCAGTTAGCCACGCACATCTGTATGGTAGTATGGAGGAGCACCATCTTTCTCTGTGCAAAATACGACCTATTCTAGACCTACTCATGCATTTTTCTCTTGCACATTGTGATGTCGAGTTTTGTAGTGACCGTCTGAATGAATCTAACACTACAACAGAAGACGCTTAGCTTCTTTATGTGCGTAGCCGACCTGATCGTTCCTTATGTATGTCCATTCTTATTCCATCCGTTTCAAACTTATCGCAAATGCGAGAAAAACTTAGACGTGTAGGTGGTTACGTTTCATATTGTTGCCTCTAATGTCGTTGCACTTCACTGATATTCTCGATCCTCCAATACCATTTCAAAATACTTTTTCGCTACTCGAAAGTCAGACGTACCCTCGCCATGGTCTCACTTTCTCTACTAAAACACTACCGCCATCTGTCGCAGAACTATTGTTGAACACGTCGAAACACTAATGCCAACTGACAAAATCAATTCTTGCAACTTACCCTATGTCCCTATGTCCAATGCAATGTATAACTTATGGCATTAACATATGACCCAGTCTTTAAGTGTGTATACATTTTTTTGATTACCCCTGTATATTTTACTATGTATTTTTTATTTTCGTTACTATTATTTTATGATTTTGTAACGATTTGTTTTGTTTTTCTTTTTGTTTACAGTTTATCTTGATTTGAGAGGTAAAATAATTGTACATACATGTTTTGTACAGAAGATATACCAGAATGAGAAATGTACATAGAATCGTTCATTATTTCATCTTGTAAAAAATATCGGTAAATAAATGTTTTAGTTCGTAGACTTCATTTATTTTTGTTTCATTATGTTTTTTGTTTCTTTCTTTATTTCCTAAAGGAAAAGAGCTTCTTAATGCGTATTTCATCATTTTAAGGAGAATACAAATAATTTTAAAAACAGAATAATTATTTTACTAAGGAATTTGAATAATCTCTCAAAGGAACTAAGGAAAAACAATTTAATTATAATAAAATAATATAATGTTATTTAATTATTTATTGCCATGTTATTTTAATCTAAATGCAATGAAGAATAAAAACACTTTAATCAGAATATTTCTTATATGATTAACTTAGTATTTATATAACCCTTAATGACTAGCTCTACACATGTATTCTTATAATAATAAAATTAACCACATATGTTTAAAATTTCCGTTTATTTTTTCAAGTTAAAGAACTAATTAATATTAATTAGTCATGGAATAAAAAAGCTAAGAGGCATATCATTTTTTAATTTATGAAGAAATACTTTAAAGGCAAAAGTATATAAAAGCCTATAGTGTAATTAATATGATTATGTATGCTATTTAAACATTCTTTACCCGAAGAAAAAAAAAGATTTTTTCCCCTTATTGAAATAATTCTACTTTTTTTTGCAACAATGTGACAAATTTAATTTACAAATTTAATAAATTATTTAAAATTATAATAATAAATATTATTACTGTGTCTGAAACATATTTCATATTAATTATTTAAGTATTTTCATCAACTAACAGTCTAAAAAAGTAAACATTTTCACATACTTAATTTAAAGCTCTTATTTTATGATAATGTATTCTGGAATGTGAATGCTTTTTCAAATTAAATATATTAATTTAAATTAAAATTAGAAAAATATAATTATTTGCTATATTCCTATAAGAAATTTTCCATTAAATTTATATGTTATTGTTTCATTAGTTAACGTTAATTTAAAATTTTCATATAAAAGTTAAAAAAAAAGTTAATTTAAAACTTTCATTAAAGTTAAAAAAAAGTCAATTTAAAGTTCGTTGACGTTTAAAACTTTCACACATTGAAGATTTAAAAAATGTTAAAATTCGTTAAGGTTAATTTAAACTTCCGTTAATTTTAATTCATGTTAGTTTTAAGTTAAATAAACGTTCATTTTTAGAGTTAATTTATGTTGTAATTTGCTGCCTACGTTAATGAATGCGCAAACATTGTAAAACCAAAATTAAAGTAAAACAAATAATATGAAAAAAAAAATTATTGAATTCCTACTTAAGTCAATAAAGAAAATTTTTATTTTAGTTACTTTTTATTAAATAATTACAATTAATATAAATATTTTTATACATATGACAGGATTACAAAATTAAGTGGCAAAATAGAGAGAATTTCCCTTCTATATATGATGTTGGACTATTATTTTTGTTTGTTACTACTTATGCATTCATAAATCACATTCTCAGAAATTAGGCCATCCCAGGTAAGGTTCGAAACCACGACATTTGGATAAAAAGTCCAACACGCTATCCATTGTGCTACAGGGACATAACGAGCGATTTTCCTTTTTATATTTGGTGTTAGACTATTATTTTTTCATCATTCGTTTAGTTAAACTTATGAATTAATATTTGAAAAACTGTATTAACATCCAGTGTCCTCCCACATAAGTTTTAAAAAATGTATTTGAACTTGAATGGATGAATAGAAAACATTTTATTAACGATTAAAAATTTGAACATGATATATATATATATATATATATATATATATATGGAGTTTGTGAATTAATAGTATGAATTGAATGATTTGTTACATTTTAAAATCGAGTCATGTATTTAAACACGAATGACATTTCTCCCTAAAAAGGCTTAAAAATTAACAAATTTGACCTTTACAAAAAAATCACTTCAAAATCTTCTTTTCATCTTTAATAAAGAAACAATGCTCGAAACAATGCGCATCTTAAGATCTATTGTTCAAAAACAGGAACGTCTTTTCTTTACTTATTTGTGGTTTAATAGATAAAAGCAAGTTTTTTTTAAATTCTTTTTTCTTCAGAAATTCCTGGAAGAAGATCTCATTCTTAAATGGCAACTCTACATAATGAAATAGGTTTGGGAGGAAAAAATTGTTTTTCCTTTGTACCAAACTTAAATTAGATTGAAAAGGCTGAAGAATTTTGTAAGAGAAAGAGGATGGAGGGAGATGTATACACACACAAAAATTGGAAAACTTTACCATCTCAATTTCATTTAAAGTTTGATTGGATTAGCCCTTTGTTTGCCCTTCAAAGTGAAGCTCAGAGATAAACGTAGTTAATGCAAAAATCTCATTAGAGCGAAAAACTCTATTATTTTTTATCATGTTTGAATGCTAAGTTGAACGAACTGTCGAGAAAACTAGATCGGTGTTGAACACCTACGTGAGACAACTTCTTAAGTCACTAGAAAAAAATCCACAAATAATTAAAATCAGTGTGTGTAATGGATGTTCACTGCTAACAGCTTATGATGACTTCATGTCTAAGAATATTCGATTAAAGCGTAGGTAGATAACTCGTTTGGCTTCGAATTCATTCTGGATCTATGACGATTTGCATAAAGGAAAATAGCATTATGGATGTGGAACTATCAAAAATATTTCGCGGGTAAATACCTATATGTTGAATCAATTGCTTATTTATTCTTTGTGTATCAATGTGCAAATCACATATTTGAATGTAAAATTATGCTGTTAGAACATATGTATAATAAGTATAGCAAAAAGAACTAAACATTAAATAATTTTAAAATCAGCTACTTGTAGAAGTTTTCAATGATCTTCCGACTGTTTTCGATGGAACCCTGGGGTTCCAAGAGTCATAATAAAAGTCAAAAAGAAAATTATAAATGAGTTTGCAAAATGGATTCACGTTCTTTATGAAGCTTGTACAACCACAAGTATCTGAAGCTCATTTCAGTCATTAAAAGTGAAAATTTTATTTATACATAATATATATATAAGTTTATTTTGTAATACTTTTTTAAAGTTTTATTATAATATTATAAAAGAATACTAAAACGTTTTTTCTTTATACGTACTAACAATTTTACTATGAATGTTCTACTGTGTACTATCTTGGGTTCCACGAAATAATTTTATACTAATTAGTATAATAATTTGTAAAACTAAATAGTTTTCTAAAAGAAAAATGCACCTTTTTTCATTAGTAGAAATAAAATGAAAGCGAGGAAACAGTTTATTGGAATACATACAAATTCCCTGTTAAAATCTAAATTTAATGAAGAACAGCGCTAAATTTTAGATTGCAAATTCTTGCAGATTACATAGGATTTCTACCACTGCTATAAACATTTTAATGCCATTCGAACTACATATTTAAGTGGAAAATATTTCTCAACTTGAGTTGTTTTACAAAAACAAAATATGAAAACAAATAAAACTCATAATATGAAATTCAACTGCAGATAATTTCAATAGGCCTAGACTTTGACGGTTAGTGTAAAAAAAAAAAAATGGTGCGTCACATATCCCTGTTACTAAACATAAAGCAAGGGTAGTTGACTCTTCGATCACAAATCAATATTATTAATGTGTGAGTGAAATATATCAAAATTATATTAATTTTTTTAATAGAAAATACATTTATTTTAAATTAGTCTTTACACAAAAAGTACCTATAATATGTTGATCTATTTTAAATATTATTTTAAGATATATTGGCTTACGCGTGTACGTGAAATGGATTTCCCCCAAACACATTATATTTTATAGCTTCTGGGAGTTGAAGATGTTTGAAAACCACTGATATATAGAATAAAGTGAAATACTGTAAAAAGTATTCCGAAACATTGGTAAACACTTATGAACTGAACATTTTATTAACCTCGCAATCTTTCGCAATGTGAGGTCTATTGACTATTTTTTTTAAATAAATTTCTTTGCAAAACTTCTCATGCTCCACATTGCATAACATAAGGCTTACAGAAATAGGTGGTAACATAAATATAAAATTTAAAACAAAATTTAAAATACATTTTTAAGAGATAAATATAAAATGTAAGGAAGAGATGAAGTACACAAAGATAAAGAAAGGGAGGTAACTCTATAAACTTTAAAAATCTATACAGTAAACAAACTTTCTTAAAATATTAAGGCTTTCAGAGTACAATTGACCAACAAAGACAAAACAAGTGGCCAGAAAATACCTAAGCGTTTCAACTTCCTTTTAAAATGTTCTATTTTACAAAATGTTTAGTTTCGGCACTTTCAGCATCCTAACCACAAGAACAAATATCACTACCAATTAAATTAAACCTAGACAAATAGCTCTTAAAATTTTCATGTCCTGTTTGAATCTGGGATAACTTAAAATGAGTAGCAAATTTCTTACATTTAAGCCGTTGATAAATGGTCGGAAAAATGGTTAGTCTGTTGATTATTGACCTCATAATTTTGAACCATGGTTAAGGAACGAGGAAGGTATCTGAGCTAGAACTATAGTCTTTTGATTTCCACATCACGGTCACGAGAGTTTCTTGAACCCCGACAGATTTAACGTTCTCTTCATTGCATATTAGTTACTAACAATTCTTAAAAGATAATTACCATTTTATTCCAATATTATAAAACATATATATTTTTAATTTATGAATCCTTTTTCAGGATGCAATTTCAGATTTTTGATAAGATTTTCTCTGCCATTCTTTTTTAAAAAAAAATATATGTAGTTTTGTAATTCTTATCCTTTTAATTAATTACAATCCAATATCACTTTAAAAAAAGACGAATCTATTTCCAGTCTGCCGTTATAAGAGAACTCCCAGAAAAGCTACTCTCTTTCTTCTTTTTTCAAGTGCATGGTTATGTCTTTTCTACACTCAAAGACAAGGATGATATATTGCAAAGTAAGCACAGACAGGTGTTTTGTGAAAATCATACACTTTATCATTTGGTCATCGAGACTTTTGTAACTCACAATCACTTAAAAAGTACAAGGGACTTCAAAGAACACTTTAAGAATACAATGATTTACTTAGTTTCATCGAAACACTGTCTGTTTTCTTCTAGATAATAAACCTCACTTACCGGAAAGTGAAGGAAGTTAAACATAAATCAATTTGGACTTCAAGGTCTAATATTCCAGGATATTTTATACAAGGACCACCAGATGCGATATCAGATTTATACAGGTTTTTGTTATCTTTTAGCTTATAATTCTAATCGAAGTTTTGGCGTTGAGTTCATATATACATGCAATATCAGCATAGTTTCAGTTAGGAAATGTCTGTTAGTTATCAATGATTGTTAATATGACTGATGGTTAAAATAAGCCAAAAATAAAAATATTGATTAAAATTATGAGTCAGTTACTATTCCTGTTTTTCAATTTTTATATTTGTGTCTAATTTTTTAAGAGTATAAATAGTGCATTCACATTGACATAATCAGTCACAAATGTTAGATAAACTGAGTTATCTTACATATTTTTTGGTTAAAAAATCTATCCCCCTGAATACAGTACCAATTAAAAACTAAACAACCGTAGCAATTGCACTGCTATTAAATTAGATTAATTTTTCCTTTTTAAGTATATTTTTTTAGCTCAATATAATCGCATCTTGAAAAATTTTATATTCAATAAAAATGTATGAAATTTTATAATTTTAGTTGATTTACTGTTACTGAAATATTGTGTTACACTATTTTATAGTAAAATTATAAATTTCTATGGTCATAAGGAAACCAGAGAGTAAAATTTGCAATTTGTCAAAAATTTAAGTTACAAAAATGAAATCGTTACGTTGACACACAAAAGCACATAGAACTCTGAAGAACAATAGTTGTGAATATCACAGAGATAATCAAAGTTACATAATGTAACTAAGTTATAGTAGTTTATCAAGTACTGTGCTGTATCTCAATCAGCTACCATATAGTTATGAAATAAATTCATAATATTTACTGTAAAAAAAATTGATGCTACATTATAAAATTTTATTACCGTAAATTTTTGAATATTAGCCGATCAGTGTATAAACCCAATGTACGGATTTAGTTCAAATAATTACCCAAAATTCCAAATCCGTATAACAGCGGAACTGAAAGAAAAAAACTTTTTTTTAGAGGCTAAAGAAAAAATCTTGTTTTTTTCATGAGGTTTAAAGTTGGTAAAACCGGTGAATTAATTTGCAATCTGGCTGGTGTAAATTAAAATGCCAACGACGATAATTTTAGTTTTAGCATCTCTATTTGAAGCTAACCATTTTTTCCCACGATTCATTTGCTATCTTGAACAGTATCTGTTCTAGTCTTACTTTGTAAAGTATTCTCCCGTGGGTGATACCTTACTCCTAAGTTATCTTCGTGACCTAGAGGTGTGGGAGTAAATGAAGAACCAGGCGTTGCCATTATCTTAAAATGTCTTTATTAAGATCTTAACTTAAACACTAACAATGATAATATTTATATTATAACTTAGCGGATCTGAGGTGAGAAAACACATAATACGTATTACCAAATAAGCGCGACTTTGATCCCTATAT